GGCATCTGATTGGAGAGAAGAGCACAGTCAGAGGACAGACAGGCAGAGCAGACCAATCCCTGAACAGATCTCCACTAGAGTCCCGCCCCCACAGCCCAGTAAGATACACATAGGGTGAGTCTGATCGGGGTCATGTCTTTTCGCAGATGTAAGATAAGATCACTTTCTTAGCCTCATACAATTTCTTGCATTAGGAATTTGTCTTTTCGCAGACCCCAGCTTGCTCTCCATGAGAAACACAGACAGGGAGAGAAGCTGGGGGTCAGAGCGCAGGGTCAGACATTTATACAGCGCCCCTGGAGCAGCTGGGGTTCAGGGCCTTGCACAGGGGCCCAACAGAGTAGGATTCCTCTGCCGGCTGTGGGATTTGAACCAGCAACCTTCCAGCCACAGGGCGCAGATCCTGAGCCACAGAGCCACCGCCCTGTACACAGATGTGTGTGATTGGAGGTGAGTCTGTTCACAGATGTGTGTGATTGGAGGTGAGTCTGTTCACAGATGTGTGTGATTGATTGGGGGCGAGTCAGACTGGGGCGTGTGTGGGAGGGCTCCTGTCTGACACAGTGTTCATCAGCTCTGCTCTTTGCAGTAACCAGGCTTCTCCCAGCAGAAACAGACTCACAGTGTAAGAACTCGGCTCTGGTCCTGGGCTGCAGAGCCTTCAGCTTGTAGACACCGGCTTCATTCACTGGGGAGACATGGGTAACGTTAATGCCCCCTGTGTGCGCAGGTGGACCGATTCTGGGCAGTGGTTTATCCTTGTGTTTACAATCGTTATGTAACTAGGACTGGAGTTATAGAAGTTTGCGCTTTACAACTATTTTTTCTTAACGATTCAGAGCCTCGTAACTGTCAGAATCTCAGACGCCCCCCTACAGCTTTTTACCCTGGCGCCGGCTGTGCTTCTCCAGGTACTTCATCGAAAGGTTAAATCTGTATGGGTTCCACAGATATTTACACAAAGGGCGGCAGGGGTGTGGAACAGCTGTGTGGCTGAAGCCCAAAGCTTGGCTTCTGTCAAGAAACAGCGGACTAACTGCCAAATGGGCTTGTTGCTCCGAACGGCCTCCTCTTAATCCAACTGGGCAAACACAAGAGTAGCCATTCCAATCGGATACAGTGCGTGGAGACCCCTTGGAAGTGACAAAGAGATTTTCACTACAACAAAGGCGCGTCCTTCCTAGTCTGAACAGGAGACACCGTCCTCACAGAGTGACCCCCTACACAGTCCTCGGCGTGCCTTGTCCGTTAACTGTGTTAACTGCTGTGCTAGGGTAACTTCCACAAGCACGCAGCGCTGCTCCTTGGGCAGTGTAAGAATCAGATATACTGGACCGCTTTCTAGACTCTGGGAATGAAGCTGGAGGCTTTACTTTGCTGTAAATGAAGAGAATTTCATTTGACAGATCTTCCCCTTACAAACAGTTTTGGGAACGAATTACGCTCTTAGGTCAAGGGATGGAAAACCGGAGATTTTCTGGAAAGACGTCACAGTGAGTTTGTCCACCGACCTGTCCTGGAGATCTTGACTGACTCCTCCTTCCAGATGTCTTCCAGTTGCCGTTTCAGCTTAAGGACGCTCTTCTTCACTACCCCGAAGGAGAAGTCCGGATTGACAGAGATGTTGGGCACATCGCCCCCTGCAGGCCGGCCACAGAAGGACTTGTAGCTCTACCGCAGCGGAGAGGGAGAGAGAAGCTCAAGGAAGGAAATCAAACCTTGGGGTGATATTTGATTAAGGCTTGACACTGGACCCACATGTGCAGCATATTGTCAGAACATCTTTCTTTCACCTCAGAATTATCACTGGACTACACCCTGTGTTATCACTAACTGTGGCTGATCAACACATTTGTCTTTTCCCAAACCGACTACTGTAAAGCTCTGCTCTCTGGGGTTTCTAAATCCGCATTGAACAAACTTCAGTGTCCAAAATTGCACTGTCCAAAATTCGGCAGCCAGAGTCCTGACCAGGTCCAGTGCAAGTGATTACATTACTCCTGTCCTGGAGTCCTTGCACTGGCTTCCTGTCAGGTTCCATGTCGACTTTAAAATCCTCCTGCTCACCTGTGAGGCTCTGCATGGCTCGGCGCCTCAGTACCTGACTGAGCTGTGGTCGCCCTGCTCCCCACCTCACAACCTTCACTCTGCTCATCCTGCTCTCCTGTCTGTCCCCCGAGCCCGACCACACTCTAGGGGTGACAGGGCTTCTCCTGCTGCACCCCAGAGCTCTGGAACCCTCTCCCCAAGGATATCAGAGAGTCGCCTTCTCTAAACTCCCTCAAATCCAGACTCAACACCTCCTTCTTCAGAAGAGTCTGCTGAACTGTTCTTTACTCCTCTGCTACCAGCATCTACTGTCTCCTCATCCTGCTTATCTTGTGTTTTTTTTCTTTATTATATTGTATTCTGTAAAGCGCTTTGAGAAGCCACCTTTAAAGGCGCAATATAAAATGAAGTTTATTATTATTTTTATTCTGAGGAGAAGCCTGGATCAACTGACAGCTCAAACTGGGACTGGACTGCAGAGAGTCCCAGAGCAGTGCTGTTACCTGGAGGAAATGGATGTGATCCTCTGTGTGTGAGAGCTGGCTCAGCTCAGCGTCTCTCCTCCTCAGCTCGGCGATCTCCTGCTCCAGTCGCTCCAGGAGAGCTGCGCCCCTGATCTCCGCCGCCTGCTGGTTAACTTGGATCAGCTGTGCGACGGCGTGACGCATCCTCTTGACGGAGCGGTCCAGCTCGGAGAAGATCCTGTCGCTGTCCTCCACCGCTCTCTGCGCAGAGCTCTGAGGGACACAGGGGGGGTTAGTACACTCCATGGACCCAGCAGCTCCTTTCTGTCTCTGAGACATCTCAGCTCCGGTCCAGTTCTCCCACCACTAGACCCCAGGACCAGCAACGTGACATCGGGCCTGATCAGGATGATCAATATGATCTGAATGATCAATATTCGAGCCCAGATGGCTGAGACCTGGCCCCACGCCGGCCTCCTCGCTGGCTGATGGCTGGAGAGGAGGCGAGAGTCAGTGTGGAGGGACAGGAGGAGTACACTCATGAGTGAGTGTCCCAGTGGTGTCCAGCGCTCCAGCAGTGTCCCAGAGGGATTTATACTCCAGCTCTGGACACCCTATGGTATTACTGTGAGTGGGTTTTTGATGGGTCCATAACTGAAATGCACCACTTATGGCCCTGTGGCTATTCCTGATGATACGATATCCATCCTCGCCTTTCTGCTCCTCCTGAGGAGTCACGTACAACAGCAGGAGTCTGTTTCAAGCCTGGTGAGGAGTAAGGACCCCAGGCCAGAGTCAGACATGTGCAAGTGTGTCCACCCCTCTGGTCAATACCCACTCTGAGTGAGTCCACAGCCTGTCTCAGCTCCTGCAGCTCCTTCTCCCTCTCCTGGAGTCTCTGCTGGGTTTGTCTCTGTGTCGCCTCCAGCTTTTTCTGTGGAGAAACACAGACACTCAGGACAATTCTGCTGTGGACTCTCCCTACCTGCCTGAAGGTTAGGGTTAGGGTTTGACTGTAAACAGTCAGTTCTGCTCATTGTGCTACAATACTTCCTTCAAGTCAGTCTGTGGACTCTGGACTACAGTGCTGGTGGCAGATTGTGTGTGTGTGTGTTTCATATCCAGAGCTGTGTGTGTGTTTATGTGTGTTTCATGTCCAGAGCTGTGTGTGTGTGTGTCTCATGTCCAGAGCTGTGTTTGTGTTTATGTGTGTCTCATGTCCAGAGCTGAGTGAGTATGTCTCATGTCCAGAACTGTGTGTGCGTGCGTGCGTGCGTGCGTGTGTGCGTGCGTGCGAGCGTGCGTGCGTGTGTGCGTGCGTGCGTGTGTGTGTGTGTCTCATGTCCAGAGCTGAGTGAGTATGTCTCGTTTCCAGAGGTGTGTGTGTGTGTGTGTGTGTGT